ACGATAGATTGACTAACACTTCGAGTTTATTTATACTTTCATTAAGTATAACAAAAGATTTTGTGGTATCCACTTGTGTAAATATTTTAAATTGAAGATCGAATTCATTCATTGTATTCATATAGGGTCAAGGAGTGTAGTTATAAAAAATCATCAAAATCAGAGTTAAAATAACCGTTAAATCGTGATTTTTCGTTTATAACCGTTGAAAAGTTTTGTCCCGTTACTTGATCTCTGAATGTTTTTTTTTTGTGATTTTTTGGTGATGTGATCTCCAAGCATATACAAACAATTTTGACGGTTGGGATCGTTGAAATTAGTTTTGGAGAATTCGTAAAACGATAGATTGACTAACACTTAGAGTTTATTTATACTTTCATTAAGTATAACAAAAGATTTTGTGGTATCCACTTGTGTAAATATTTTAAATTGAAGATCGAATTCATTCATTGTATTCATATAGGGTCAAGGAGTGTAGTTATAAAAAATCATCAAAATCGGAGTTAAAATAACTGTTAAATCGTGATTTTTCGTTTATAACCGTTGAAAAGCTTTGTCCCGTTACTTGATCTTTGAATGTTTTTTTTTTGTGATTTTTTGCTGATGTGATCTCCGAGCATATACAAACAATTTTGACGGTTTGGATCGTTGAAATTAGTTTTGGAGAATTCGTAAAACGATAGATTGACTAACACTTAGAGTTTATTTATACTTTTATTAAGTATAACATAAGATTTTGTGGTATCCACTTGTGTAAATATTTTAAATTGAAGATCGAATTCATTCATTATATTCATATAGGGTCAAGGAGTGTAGTTATAAAAAATCATCAAAATCGGAGTTAAAATAACCGTTAAATCGTGATTTTTCGTTTATAACCGTTGAAAAGCTTTGTCCCGTTACTTGATCTTTGAATGTTTTTTTTTTGTGATTTTTTGCTGATATGATCTCCAAGCATATGCAAACAATTTTGACGGTTTGGATCGTTGAAATTAGTTTTGGAGAATTCGTAAAACGATAGATTGACTAACACTTAGAGTTTATTTATACTTTCATTAAGTATAACAAAAGATTTTGTGGTATCCACTTGTGTAAATATTTTAAATTGAAGATCGAATTCATTCATTGTATTCATATAGGGTCAAGGAGTGTAGTTATAAAAAATCATCAAAATCAGAGTTAAAATAACCGTTAAATCGTGATTTTTCGTTTATAACCGTTGAAAAGCTTTGTCCCGTTACTTGATCTTTGAATGTTTTTTTTTTGTGATTTTTTGCTGATGTGATCTCCAAGCATATACAAACAATTTTGACGGTTTGGATCGTTGAAATTAGTTTTGGAGAATTCGTAAAACGATAGATTGACTAACACTTAGAGTTTATTTATACTTTTATTAAGTATAACATAAGATTTTGTGGTATCCACTTGTGTAAATATTTTAAATTGAAGATCGAATTCATTCATTATATTCATATAGGGTCAAGGAGTGTAGTTATAAAAAATCATCAAAATCGGAGTTAAAATAACCGTTAAATCGTGATTTTTCGTTTATAACCGTTGAAAAGCTTTGTCCCGTTACTTGATCTCTGAATGTTTTTTTTTTGTGATTTTTTGCTGATGTGATCTCCAAGCATATACAAACAATTTTGACGGTTTGGATCGTTGAAATTAGTTTTGGAGAATTCGTAAAACGATAGATTGACTAACACTTAGAGTTTATTTATACTTTCATTAAGTATAACAAAAGATTTTGTGGTATCCACTTGTGTAAATATTTTAAATTGAAGATCGAATTCATTCATTGTATTCATATAGGGTCAAGGAGTGTAGTTATAAAAAATCATCAAAATCAGAGTTAAAATAACCGTTAAATCGTGATTTTTCGTTTATAACCGTTGAAAAGCTTTGTCCCGTTACTTGATCTCTGAATGTTTATTTTTTATGATTTTTTGTTGATGTGATCTCAAAGCATATACAAACAAGTTTGACGGTTGGGATCGTTGAAATTAGTTTTGGAGAATTCGTATGCCATCAATCAAGTTCCGTGTGTGTGTGTGTATATATATATATATATTTATTAAGTAGATTTAAATCTATTTATTTTGTACGTATAAATTATAATTGACTGGTACACGAAATAGTACATACATCACGTGTCACGTGTGTCATTATAAAAATAGTGAGATATGTCATGACAGTCATGTGTGTGATAAAAAGTTAATAACTTAAAAAAAAAAAAAATTTCTCACCACTTCTTTTAATTTTCATTTTTCCCTCTTTTTTTTGTTTCCTTTTCAACTTTTTCTTATCATTTTCACTTTTCCCTCCAACATCTTTCCCTAATTCCCTCACTTTTTTGTTTTATTTTCAACTTTTCTTAACATTTTTATTTTCCCTCCATTTTTTTTTTCAAAAAGGGCGGCAAGTTGACAAATGCATGATCATGATTCATGCATATTAAATTATTAATTAATATGCATTATAGTTTTTATACAATTTAATATATATATATATATATATAATTAGTATAGATAGACTTAATATTTTGGGGGTATAATTATTATAGTATATATAATTATTATAGTATATATAATTATTATAAATTTTATAGTTAATTTAATATATATATATATATTTATTATAATTTTTAGGGGTATAAAATTGTAAAATTAATGTATATAATTATTACAGTATTTTTTTAGGGTTATAAAATTATAAAAATAATATTCTGCTTATCGTGTATCGTGTTTACCCACGTGTATACCCGACCCAACCCGTTATCTTAACAGGTGCTTATCGGGTTACCCGATAAGACCCGATTCGTTATCGTGTCGACCCAAACACCTGTTAATTTCGTGTCGTGTCGTGTCGGGTTATCGGGTCGTGTCAGAAATTGCCAGGCCTACCTGTAGGTCTTTGAATCTTATGAAGCAAGGTCCAAAAGATACAACAGTAAGTCATAAAAAAAGATGAATTAAGATGTCAAAATTAACTGTATGAACGAGTATATAAGATGACCGTAAATTTACTTGTAATTTTTTTATTTTATTTTATTTTTTTACTTTTATTAGGGAAAATGGAGATTTTGAAATTATTACAATAATTTAAGAGATGAGAGAGTTTCAAGCTCAAGATGTATGGATAGAAATCCAACACCATTTGTACTAGTGACTCTTAGCCACTAGTACAATAAATATTCATACCTTTTCATTAAATAAAATTATTATGTGATTTTTAGTTAAATGAAAGTTAGCTCAAGCATTTTTCATTAAAACTCCCTTTATTTTTCTAACTTTCGTTTTTTGCACTTCAAAAAGGGTCAAGTTGGTAGAAAACTATACAATGTTTGTGTTACCCTTGTCTATACTGCATTTCTTATAAACAACATAAACTGAAGGTGGAGGAATAATTCGGTTACGAATATACTATTTACAAGATTCGAATATGCCTATATTGCATTGTTTAACCATAAAACATGTAGAGACATTTCACCAAAACTTGGCCTAAATGGTCCCCCGCGCGCGAATAAGCATATACTATAAAACAATATATAGCATCGTTGTTATTTTCTTGACTGTTTAGTGAGCAACAAATTTAGGTCCATATGCATTGGTATATAAACGCTTCATGATGAAAATGGATACGATATAATCCTATCACCGTTATATGTACGCAATACGTTGCGTAAATTTTTCTTAGTGATTTACCCCTATCATGCATTGAGGGCCACAGGCGTACATCATTCGGTAGAGAAATTTTTTATTATGACCGAAATACGGGTGGTACATTACGTGTTTTTATATAAACGTTGGAAAATTTTATTTTTTTAAATTATTAACTTTTTAGCATATATATCTCATTATTTGCATAATGATATGTAATGTACCATCCTATGTTCTGATTACACTGAAAAATATCTCCTTCCGGTGCCAAGAAATAATTTTTTCAGGGGATGCACATGACACCTGGTGTTCCCCACCTATTAGCATTTCACACCTTGGATATCATCTTTTGAAATGACTCAATCCTTCGATCTTATTTCTGAGAATATAAATCAAACTAATTTTAAGAAAAAGTAAAAATCAATCAAATAAACAGACAAACAATTCAAATTACGTCCAGGATCTGGAACCCTCCGCCCCACCCATACCCATTCCTCCCTTTCCCTCACGTCTCTGTTGCCCTTTCTCTTTCTTTCTCTCTCATTTTTTTCTTTCACCTCCTCTCCTACGCCGGAGAAGAACACGGGAAGGCCGACCACTCCACCATCAATTAGATCGGGATTGGGGACACCAGATTTCTGGTTAAGTTGCCGCTGAACATCCCTCCGCTTGTATGTCGAAATAAGAGTGGAGAAATAGAGAGCAGATGAGAGAGAAGAGATGGGGTGTTGCCGGTAAAGTAGTCGGCCGACGATGGGGTGGGTAGTTGCTATCTGATGGGTGATTGGCGTGGACGAGGTGGAGGTTTGTTCACTGGGATAGGGGTAATTTAGAAATTGTGTTAGATAAAAATTCTAATTTGGATTTTTAATTGATTTTTTTTTGTTAAATTTATTTTTATTTATATTTTGGATAATAAAATTCAAGGATTGAGTCATAACCAAGGTGTCAAATGCTAATAGGTGAGGAACACCAGTTATCATGTGTACCTGACTCCTGGAAAAATTTCTCGTCCGGTGCCATAAAAGTCTCTCTCATAAGTTGACTCATCATGTATACCTAGCTTTTTGTAAAATCGACGCCCTTTTTTCATCCTTGTGGTTAAATTGTACAAAGTACAAACCCTCTTATTTACGGCCTGATGATGTCTAAAAAGCCAAAAAACGAAGTCATTCTCGACTAGATTTTTTAAGAGCATTTACAAATTTATAAGTAAAAAAGTATTTACTTAAGACAATAATCATGTTTTAATCCGTTAGACGAAAGTTTAGCAACTCTAATCTACTGGATGAAAATGATTGACCATAAGGTTTACATATGTTTTATAAGATGATATCATTAATGCACAATGCCAAATTTGTATTATTCAAATACATCAAAATGAAGTTCTTTCACAAAGCTTAGTAAGAAAAACGACAATCACTTCTTAGTTCATTTTATTCTTGAAAACATAGCTATAGCCTTACATAATATCAGAAAATACTTAATATAACAGAAAATTAATGAACGCTTAAGTGATTGTCGAATATTAGTTAATTAGTAAGGTCTCTGCCCAGCATAGTTGCCTGGGGGATCATAGTTGCATCCAATGAAGGTGCCTCCATTGTTGCACCGCACTTTCGCGCACCCTAGACGGGTTGAGCTGCGCCAAACAACCTGAGTATAATGCCCACATATTTTCCCAGCAGCACAAGTGTTAGAGTTGTAATTATAGTTAGCTTTCTCGCTCACAAACAAGTTCACGGCTGCTTTGCCCGACAAGTCACCGGTGCCCTGTGCTAAGTTTTCGCCGTAGGGCCCACCAGAATGAACAAGATTGCAGTCACCGATGCGGGAGTTAGCGTATCTTTGTGCATAATTGACTAAGTTGGTATCCCATGACAAGGGGGCAACGCCCACCTGTGCTCGAGCGGCGTTGTGGGCATTGAGGTAGTCTTGTGGTGAGTTTTGGGCATGAGAGGATGGGAGTAGGGTTAAGCTTATGAGACAAACCAAGGCAAATGAAGTCTTCCACAACCCCATAATATTGGTTTCTACTCACACTGCAAATATTTGAAATGAGAAGTGTAGCATGCGGTATTTATAATGAAAAAAAGGAGAAAGGGGATTTGTATTTTCCATGGAGATACCTAATTTCCAACCACGTTAATTTGATATGGTATATCAAAGATCTAATGCATTGATGTGACGTATCCATGTCATATTGATATTTAATTAATTAGAAGTATTTTTTCAATATCACATATAAGTCTTTTTTTGGAGTCAACTAGTTAGCAGATATTTTATTATCATTTCAAAAGTCATTCTACTGGTGGGCTACCAGTGTATGATGACGTTGTATAAACGCTAGTGTATGATGACATTATTTTTCTGTCTTTGTCTGCAATGTCGTCATGACCTAAATGGCCAAACCCTATGAAGACGTCAAAACTGTTAGAAGGCAAACTAAATCCCGATGGATGAGGGATTATATTTGACAAATACGTGTGTAATATGTAAATTGATTTGTATTGCAGTTAGATGCTAGTTTATAGGAGGACTTTTGTATAAATCTTTCTCACTGATATCAATATATTCATTCTGGCAGACATATTACTTTCCAAGTTTTACATGGTATTAATCCTTGCTTTGCTCTGCCTTCTCTCTTCTGCTGCTAGATTCCTCACGTCTTCCATTTGGGACAAGTACAATTTCTACTAATTGTCCTTTCTCTCTTTTACACTGTGACATTTGGGGTCCTCACAAAACCACTTCATTTACCGGTGCACACTATTTTTTAACCATTTTGATTACTACTCGAGATATACATAGGTGTACCTCATGTGCCATAAATCTGAAACACAAGGAATCTTAAGTCTTTCTTTGCCCTTGTTCAAACCCAATTTCATTCCAAAATACAACAAATATGAGTAAACAATGGGGATGAGTTTTATTCTATGCGCCAATTTTTCCAAGATAATAGGGTTATTTATCAACATACATACACCTGCACACCTAAGCAAAATGGTGTTGTTGAATGTAAACATATGCATCTCCTTAAGACCACTAGAGCATTAATCTTCCAAAGTGTGCTTACCGCTGCCTATATTATTAATAGCTTGCCTACCAATGTCCTTGCCACGAAAACACCATTTGAGAAACTTTACAACAAGCCCCCTACTTATAATCGTATGTCCTATATTATTAATTGCTTGCCTACCAAAGTCCTTGCCACGAAAACACCATTTGAGAAACTTTGCAACACGCCCCCTACTTATAATCGTATGTGTGTTTTTGGATGCCTCACCTATGCCACATCTGTTCACCCCACTTTCAAATTCACCCCTCGTTCCACAAAAAGCTTTTTTCTCGGTTATCCCATTGGGTAGAAAGCTTATCGTTTATATGATTTGGACACCTGCAAAATATTCACTAACCGTGATGTTTTATTTGAAGAAAATTTTCCTTATCAATCCAAAGATAATACCTAATTAGCCCAAACAAAAAAGGCCACATCAAGCCCACTAACTACACCCGTGCTTCCAATATGCCAAATTCCTCTTTTTCTGATGTAAATTGTCCTTCTCCTTAGCCAAACCCAGAACCTAACATCGGTCCCCATGTACCAAATTCATCTTTACGTGATGTAATTTCTTTTCCTCAGTCAAACCCCGAACCTTCAGCGTCGGTGCCCTCGTCTCCCAAAAAAAATGTCGATAATTTGTTTACCCACGTCAACTCACCACCAACTACTGTCGCACCACCAATCGTGACGGCACCTCTTCATCTTGAATCACTAACTGCCATGCCACCCACTACTCTTGTACCGCCCATCACCCCGCCAGATGCTCACCTCAAACCTCCATTACCTGCTCATCCTGTCCGTCAATCGCAATGTCCCAAACAACCCTCCGTTCTTCTCAAGGACTTTGATTGTTCGCAAGTGACTCTGTCACCAGACCTTTCGTCTTCGTCGTTGCTCACTTTTTCACCAGGTACTCGTTATCTTCTTTTTCTAAGGCAAACTAAAATTTCCGTTAGCAATACAGAACTTGAGGCCCTCCAATCCAACAACACTTGGACGCTCATTTCCCTTCCTCCAGGCAAATGCCCAATTGATTGCAAATGGGTATATAAAATCAAGCGTTGTTTTGACGGTTCAATTGAGTTGTATAAAGCTCGACTTGTAGCTAAGGACTTCACCCAAACAGCAGGCATTGACTATCATGAAACCTTTTATCCCACTACAACAATGATTACAGTTCGTTGCCTTCTCGCCATTGCCGCAGTTTGCAATTGGTCTCTCCATCAACTTGATGTCAACAACGCATTCCTTCATGGCGATCTTCATGAAGAAATCTATATGCATCCTCCTCCTGGTCTCCGTCGACAGGGGGAGCACTTGGTATGTCGTGTTGGATAGTGGCCAAATTAGGCTAGGAAACAAAACAATATTGATGAGGGAACATCATGATGAGGATTATGTTTCCTTGTTTTGTGGCTTGATTTGTTCCTTGTTTTGTGGCTTTTTCAAAGCCATAATTATTTGGCTTTCGGGTGGAAGAAAGGAGGAGAAGAAAAGGGGCTGATTTTTATTTAAATGCTTGCCGAGGGAGAAGGCTTGGATTAAAAGGAAAGCATCCAAAGAGATGGTGAGAGCATTTGGCTCTACCATGGGCACGGGTGAGAGAAATCAAGAGAGCTAGAGTGAAAGGTCTCTTGTGAAAGAACTCTTGGGGTAGAGTGAGGCTCTTGGGAAAATTCTGTGAGTGGGTGTACAAGGGATATGGGATTGGGTTATGTCGATTTAACTCATGTGTAACTTGTACTGTTTTTCTCATAGTGAAGAGCAATATCTCTCCGAGGACGTAGGCAGGTTTTTGCCGAACCTCGTAAATTTCTCGGTGTCTTTATTTCTTGTATTTTAAACTATTCAACTGTGGGTTTGTATGTTGGTGAAGATAATCAGCCAAGGCACAACATGTCGCCTCAACAAATCATTATATGTCCTTAAGCAAGCTTCGTGCCAAATGTTTGCAAAATTTACTAAGCCGGTAAAGGTGCTAGTTTATTCAATCAAAGGCTGATTACTCATTATTCATCAACAGGCAAGTACATATTTCACAGCATTGTTGATCTATGTTGATGATATATTGATCACCGGAAATGATGAAACGACTATAAGGTCTCTCAAGCAATTTCTTTATACTTGTTTTCGTATCAAGGATTTTGGGGGTTTGAATTTTTCTTGAGGTTTCCCATTCAAGGAAGGGTATTTGCATTTCACGGATGAAGTACACTCCTGAGTCTTGACATTCTTAAAGATGGTGTCATATTAGGTGCTCGTCCAGTCTCATTTCCAATGGAGCAAGGAACCAAGCTAATCGACTGTGGAGAAATGCTCAAGGATCTGTCTCAATATAGGCAATTGGTAGGTCGTCTAATCTACCTCACTATCACAATGCCTGATATTACGTATGCCACACACGTTCTAAGCATGTTTATGCATGAGCCTCGTAAACCACGCATGGAGGCTGCATTACGTGTACTCAAATACCTCAAAAAAGCACCTGGACAATGACTTCTATATTCAGCCAAAAACAACCTGAAGTGAGTGCATTCTGTGACTCAGATTGGGCTAGTTGCCCAAATAGTCGAAGGTCTACTATTGGGTATTGTGTGTTCCTTGGAAACTTTTTAATTTTATGGAGAACGAAAAGGCAAAAGACTGTCTCTCTTTCCTCAACGGAAGCTGAATATAGAGCAATGACGAGGGAATGTTGTGACAACCAGACAATTTTACATATAGTTACCAGTCCGATCTTCCACAAGAGAACGCGACATATTGAAATAGATTGTCATTTCATTTGAGACAAGATTCAGGATGGTTCAGTTAGTACTAAGTATGTTGCTTTATCCCAACAACTAGTAGATGTGTTTACGAAGCCCGTGGGCAAAGATGACTTCTTAGTTATGATACACAAGTTGGGAGTTTTCGACATTTACTCTCCACCTTGTAGGGGAGTGTTAGAAGGCAATCTAAATCTTAATGATTAAGGGATTATATTTTCCAAGTTTTACAAAAACACCCCCTCGAAAGGTGATAGATTGCCATCACCCTCAAGAGAAAAATTGGTGATGTACTATGGATTAGGATCATTTCCGGATCTCTTCCCTGGAGATCCTCAGGATCTTTTAATCCTAAGCATTTAACATACAATGAACGGTAAAGATTCAAGTCGGAAAAAAAAATCGTTGTCATCTTGCCCGCAGTTCGTAATCCCACAACTGCCATCATGTTTAGGCTTCGCTGTCGACTTCTCAAAAACCCACGTCGCCACTGCACCAGATTCGTCTACATCACTTGTTGCTTCACATCGCCGCAACATCCACCTGCTAACCTGCGTCTAACTCGCTGCATCTACCTGCTGCCTTACATCGCCGTAGCACCACATCCGCCGTCCATCGATATTGGCAATCTGTTGCATCTTCTCGAACACCTCCCATATCAAAGCTATGTACCTATTATACCAGCACTGACAATCTGCTTCTCCTTCACTCACATACTTAAATCGTGGTCGTTCATAGTGTACTGAATGCTCAAGATTAGAGGATCCTGATGGTAAGGATCCAGAGATGATCCTAGTCTCTATACTGTAAAGTACAATTTGCATTAGGTCGTTTATATAATTTCAACATGCATGATTACTTTTCAATGTGTGCTAGTTTAAGCACAGTTTAGAAACACACTTCAGACACAACAGTTGGAAAAAAAAAAAAAAAAACACAAAAACAAAAACTCAACTTATGTACTTTTTTTTAAACTATTATTCATTTCTTTTCTGGCCCAAACCTAAGAGAAAATACCGAAGACCACATCTAGTCATGGGCCCTTGCCTTTGACTTTAAGGTTTGGGCAAACGACCCTCATCTCTTCTCTTATCTCCTATTCTCTCCTTTCACTTTTCTAGGATTTAGTCTTAACTTTCCTGAGCTTTGTCTTAGTTTTTCTCGGCTTTAGTGTTAGTTCTTCTAAGCTCTATCTTAATTGAGCTTTGTCCATATCTCCCCATTTCTCCTGATTTC